TGCATTCCAATCCTGACAGAGGCCAGTCACATGACCCGGGACATTGCATTCCAATCCTGACAGAGGCCAGTCACATGACCCGGGACAGTGCATTCCAATCCTGACAGAGGCAGGTCACATGTAGAATGCCTGAAGTGTTTACAGCCAGGCCAGTGATTCTTCAGTTGACGTTCTAACACACACATGCACACAGCCTTTTCACTCTGCCAGCTACACACAGGATACACTTCCAGCACCTGGACACCAGGAGGAATGTTCTAAAAGCCTGTGTTTATAATCAAGCCCCCCTTCATCCAACAAAAACCTGCACAGAGGCTCTGCATCAACCCCCCCCCTCCTTACCATAGCCCGGTACCTCATCCTGTTTTCATCCTGCCTGCCCCAGCCGTGCGTCCTGCCTGCCCCGGGTCTGCGCGTCCCGCTCTGTGCAGACTGTGTCTTTACGGTTCCAAACGGTCCGATCGCCATCCCTGTCTCTGCTCTAGAGACTGTGTGTTCCTGCTGCTCCTTGGTCTCCTCTCTGTGCAGATGAGGCTCTCGCACAGACGCGCCCGCAGTCCGCGACCGCGAACCGGGGGCCGCTCCCTGTATCACGCCTCTGCGGCCCCTCCCCGAACCACCCTCTCAGTCACAAGTAAAACATAAACTCCGGCTCCCAGGGCCGTAGCCACCCCAGCCCCCACCTCCACGTGTCACACGGGGGGGGGGGAAGGAAGAAAAATGACTAAGTTCGGGAGGTCTGGCTGGGGAAGGAGCACCAGGAATGTGGGCGTGCCCATGTTCTGGAAAGATTCACTCATGACCCAGAACTCAAAACAAGCAGCCTCACTGAAAATGGTGAAAACAAGACAATGTGTGAGCAGCGACGCTCAGGGAGCCACAAGCCGGACTAACAGGGCGGTGGCGGGTAACTGTGAAATACAGCAAGAAACAGGAGTAAAGTCCTAAAGTGAACTGAGACAGACAGTCAGTATAAACAGCCCCAGAGTCGGTTTTAGCCGGATGCGGTCACCCTGGCAACCGCATCAACCATGGTATGCATGTTCGCCTCACGCTGGGGGGCAGGTGGCATCAGGGTACTGTCTTCACAAGGGGTAGAGGCTGCTGGACATTGAGGTGCAGGTGGCGAGCTGGAAAGAGCCTTAGCGAGGATAACCTGGCGCCCCCTATTGGACCAGCCAGGTAGTGCGGCAGCGATGGGCCGCCTTCACGCCTGAAGCATGGCATAGATTCCATAGCTGACGAACACCGGGAAGAAGCGTGAGCCTGGAAGCCCAGCTTATGGCCCCCCCCCCCCCAGAGTAGAGCTGGCAGGACGCTGACCCAAGGGGATATGGGTAATACTTTCCAGACACGCGCCTCCCTGAGGAGCTTTTGGCTCCACCTCTGGCAGGAGTGAGCGTTAAACATTCTGCCTGTAGCCCCTTCTTCTTGTCCCTCCTCCCTTCATTCCTCTCTCCTTATTCATTTTGTTTTCCAGCCTCCTCTATCTCCTGCACCCCTACCGTTCCTCAAAATGTTTAATTTCCAGTGATTTCCACAGACCGTGGGGACCCGCCCCACGGTCTGTGGAAATCACTGGAAATTAAACATTAAAGTAATTTTGTCTGACATGTATCTTGATCAAAGTTAACGGCCAGTCTCCGTGGCCCCTCCCACTGCCGGGCAGCCAATCCCCTCTTGCGCTATAAATAGCCACATAACCTTATAAGGCAAAGCCAGGTGCTGTCCCTCCCCAGAGCCGCAGTGTAACCCATCACACAGCTGAGTCTCCCTGCAGTTGTTCCATCAACTCAAAGGTCCAACAGAAGAAGCTCCGTGTGCCCATTCCTGTGCTCTCGGACGTGCTCATGAATGCAGCTTCAGACATGCTGACCCCTTCCTGCACCCCCCCTCCCCCCCGCATGCCCCCACCCTCCACTTGTCCTTCACAGGACGCCGCTATCCGGCTCCACCTGTAACAGAAGCAGGAGCTGTTACAATATGAAGGAAGCCCCCCCATCAGGCCCAGGCCTGCTTTCCTGCTCACACACGCACACACACGCACACACTCCCTGGGGGGCCTTGCACGTGCTCTGTGGGGGATTTCCCTTGTCATGAGCACTATGCTCCAAATCAGCTCTGGTTGTGGGGATTAGGAAGGTGCCGGAACTCAATGGCCCCAGGTTCACATTCGACATGCATTTTACGGATTAAAACTGAGGATGTCTTGCTGCGACCTGCGGTAAGGCGGTAAGGCGGGGCTGCGGTAAGGCGGTAAGGCGGGGCTGCGGGAAGGCGGTAAGGCGGGGCTGCGGTAAGGCGGTAAGGCGGGGCTGCGGGAAGGCGGTAAGGCGGGGCTGCGGGAAGGCGGTAAGGCGGGGCTGCGGTAAGGCGGTAAGGCGGGGCTGCGGTGTAAGGCGGGGCTGCGGTAAGGCGGTAAGGCAGGGCTGGTTATCCAGCGCAGCCTCCTGTACGTTGCCTCACGAACCCATCAACCATGCCGTTCGTTCAAGAAGCATTTTGCGGCGGAAAATTTTTGTACATTGTTCGGTTACTTCTGGTGAAGGTTAGGGTTAGGGTTAGGGTAGGAGGTAGGGGTTAGTTAGCCGAGCTCCCCTTTGCCCCCCCCCCCGCCCCCGTAACGGTGTGTACTTACACACCATGATTGACATGGTATTGTTTAACACTACTACTTTTTCCTTTTTATTAAGTGTAAAGAGAACACTCTAAAATGGCGATAAAAAGTACAGTACAGTAAATACATGATTATTATTAACAATTAATTTTGTGCGCGAGGACTGTTCTCCGCTCGCAGATGCTGCTCCATGTTCATTACGTGTACTTGGCTTTTATGTACGCGGGTTTTCAGACTAAGTAAAGGCCATAGTTCGGCCAGTTCGCTTTGGCTCACACTTCTGCTTCCACCTGAAGATGTGTTGGACATGGGGGTGGCTTTTCACGGTACGGAAGGCCAGGTTGGATGTCCAGCCCCGCCTTCCTAGCACCCAGAGGCTTCCTGATTAAAAAGGACAGGCAAACACAGAGAGAATCCACCTGCCTCATGGACAGAACGTGATACCAGCTCGTCTTTACTCCTGAAGCAAGGTGAGTTTTCAAATAAACTTCAGACCTAAAGCTCCCCGCCAGATTCTCGGGTTGCATGTTGTCACCCCCTACTGTACCATCTCCCTCACTGCATTCTGTCTCACCGCCAAATCTGATAGAACATCTGCAGTAGTGAAAATGGCCACTTCTGCCAAAGTAAATGTAATGATGGATAGATAGTTAGAATTTGGTTTATTTTTCACTGTTGTGGCACTTTGGTGTTTACCAGTTTTGCGCTTCTTGTGTCAGATCATTTTCCAGATAACCTTTTAAAACAATAAGCAAAGGTCTGTCATGCAGGCTTCAGCTGGGTGCAGACAAGTCTCTGCCGACCAGCCCCTGAAAAAGCCGCTTCGCGTTCACACTCACCGTGAAACACGACGCAGTCCCTCCTGAGCCGTGCTGCGCTCCAAAAGCCCGCCAAAGAGTCCAGTCCTGCCCAAGTCCAAATATGCCTGCTCAGGGATGTGCTCGGCGGCAGGACCAGGGTAGAACTTTCCGGAGCTCCAGTATTATCTCCCAGCTGATCGCTTACACTCCATGCAGGGCACGTGGTGGAGAAACACCGGGACGCGGCAAAGTTAAAATCGTCGTAGCGACTTCCGAATCAAATCAAATAAAATAATAGGTTACTGATGGAAACTTTCACTCCTGGACTGATTCGCGTTGAAGCAGCAGACCCGCTGGGCTCGGAGGCACCACCCCACTGCAGCTCTCAGGAACAGGAAGCCAGACCTCATGTATGGGTGAACAGGATAAGACACCAGAACGGAAACTGTGCATCACTGCAGGCGGGCTGCAGCTCCCACGCTGCCTACAGCACCGGCAGGCACTCTCACATGCTCTGTGAATGCGGACATTTCCCCCTGGCAGGGGCGCGAGTGGGTCAGGGCCCCTGCTGATTGGTATTTGCGATGGTGCTCAGCTCATGCCAGTGTGGGGCCTGGCCCCTCCTTCCTCCCGGTGTCCCATGCGAGTGATGGCACGGTGACTCCTTCTGCAGACAGCGTGCTTTGAAAGGACAGACGCCCAATGGCCCCCAGCAGACCAGCCCTCGGCGGGGGCTCAGGTGTGGTGTCATTAAGCCCTTAAAACCCCAAAGCCTGAAACCTCATGAACTGATGGAAAGTAGCGAGACAAAACAGCCTAAGAAGGTGCAGAAGGTGCATTCGATTGGGAAATGCTTTATTTAACTGTGTGAGTAACACCAACACCACAAGACCACATCATATCCGGCGAACGGCACCAAAACCACAACCACACACGCAGTTCACTTTTCCGCTGGCCCGAGATGCCCTCACAGAATGTTCTGGGGGCTGCAGCAGGAAAACGAGTCCTAGGCCTTAAGTCAGGATTCATTTAGGATCATGCGACGCATCACACACATGCAGTTCTGATGGAAACGGCGAGACTGTCGACACGCCCGCATCAGTCACACACAGCTGCAGCTGGCTACAGGGGTCATAAGACCTGATTAAGGGAAACGTGCTCATTTAAGGGGGGGGGGGGGACGGTTGATATGCAGCCAAGCAAAGCACGCCCAATGTCACTGAGCCAACCTGAGGTACCACCCCCCCCCCTCCCCAAAATCGAACCCGAGTTTATGAGGAAACAAACCACCACGCCCGTTTTGTCTTTCATTCTGGGGGGGTGTCCCAGAATGTTAGTATCACAAGTGGCATTTTAATGGAGACAAAGCAGAGGTCCATGTAGAGGAATGCAAATCGGGAAGATGGGGGCTGACACCCCGTCCCTGTGCAGGGAGTGAATCAGCACCCCCCTCACGTCGAGGCAGACAGCCTGAGGCAGGAAGGAGGCAGCAATGAGGCACATTGGTTATTTCCGTCATTTTTATTCCGAGATCAATGTTGATTCCATGCTGTGTTTCAGTAAGAACAATACAGACTGCATCTGTGGCTCCAGTCAAATACCCAGTAGTACAAATTAGCTTCAAGTTACACATGAATGAAAGAGAGGAGTGTAGGAGAGAAAAAAGAACGAGGGAGAAAAGGGTGGCAGAGGAGGCGGCAGAGGACAAAAACACAGACTTGGTGGGTTAACACATGCAGGCCTGAACGTGACTTTGCATCAACACACCTGCCTTTTGTGAAAACAGGAAAAACAGAGCAGTCTGGATCCTTGTGACTATTGGAAAGCGTTAATGGCGACCTCTGGAGGTCAACGGAGGCATCGCGCCGTTACAGTATTTCAGCACAAAGTACAGTTGAAAAACCACAGACACGTCGCCGTTTGGGTGCGAACGGCGGAATCGCTTCTCGCCCGTCAACCAGCATTCCAGCAAATTCCTCAGACACAGTAACAGAAAGGTAACTAGCAAAGAAGGGGGCATTTTGCGTTTGTTTTTACACACAAATGCCCTGCTTAAAACTTCAATGATTTTTCTAATTTTGCAACGGATGTTTGCACTAACACAGAAATATTACAGTACCCCACATGTAATTATAGTAGATGTTTCAGTAATAAAAATTCATTTGTGTAATCACATGAACATTACTCAAAAATACATCCAGCAACTGATAAAAATGAGGAGGCCAGGAGGGGGGGCGGG